CTCTGCCCTGCTTTTAGGCTCCCATCAGCCTTTGAGCAGCCAGGACCATGCCTTCTGGTGGTGCCTGTGCCTGGTTCACCACTGATGCTTGTGTGCAGATGCCTGTGACTGTGCTGCCCATACCCAGGCCTCTGCTCTGTGACCGGCCTCCCTGATGGTGGAATTTTTTCCAGGAGGGATGGCCAGTTGCACCCTGGGTGCTGGCTGGCTGCCATGGATTCCCTGGCTGGTGACCAGCCACCTCCCCTCTTAGGTCCCTGCCCATTTGAATGCTGTTGTCCCTGTCCAGGCCGTGGAGTCACCTAGTCCTTGAGGTGGCTGTGACACCTGGCGCACTCCCCTGCTGTTGCAGCCTCTTCTCTTTGCACAGAAGCCAGCCTGAGGAGCCTGCCCCCAGGCAGATACCTGGGTGTCATCTCTGAGCCTGTCCCACTTCTCATGAATACTGGGGATGCTCTCCCCAGATGTCTGTGTCTCTCTGCTACCTTGGTCCATGCCTGAGGTCTCATCGACCACTCTGCCTTCCTCTGTGGTCTCTCTGCTCTGCCTCCCCTCCCAACTGCTTCCATAATCCGCCCTTTCCCCCTGCACCTTCTGCCTCTGTCCACATCTGAGCCACGTGACCCCCAAAACCCCTGCCTTCACTGATGGCTCCGCTCCTTCCCATTTACACCCTTGAGCTACCGCCGTGCCCCGGGAGGGTCCTGGGCTCTCCCTCTCGCTGTCTTCATTTGCAGGCCCTGCTCACAGCTCCCCAAGGAGATTCAGGAGGCAGCTTAGCTGTCGCTCCCTGGGAAACAGTCTCTGACCCCTGTTCTGGTGTCCCCTCAACTTACACACTCACTGTCCTCCAGAGCCCATCTCACCAGCTATCTGTTTTCCTTGTCTGTGTCCCTCCCCAACCTAGCCGTGTCTGTGCCATGTGTCCTGAGCCCAGGCATGGGAGAAGTGGGCACTGTGGGGCTGGATGGGCTGACGTGGGTGGGTGCACTGTCAGGATCAGGCTTCACCTGCAGCCTGGAGGGCTGGCCCTGCTGGTCTCCTGCTGCTCCTGCAGTCATTGGCTGAGCACAGGGCCAGCTGGTACAGAGGTGAGTGCCTGGGAGTGGTTAGTAGGGTGCAGGCTGGCGGAGGCCCTGGAGGCTTTTGGAGGCTGTCTTGAAGCATCAGAGCTGCTGTCTCTGAGCCAGTGAGTCCGGGTGAGGACATAGGTGAGTTCTAGTGAGGAGGCAGGACAGTGGGAGGCTAGGAAGGGCTGCCAATCACTCGCTCCACCTGGGCAGCCACAGGTCCCTCTGGGGCCTGGTCCTTCTGCAAAGTTGTGTGCATCTTGGGGCCTCTCAGAGGTGGCAAAAGGGCCTTGCCTAGTAATGAGTTTTTGTTTGCTTTGAGGCTCCCAATTCATTAAAAAAAAGAAGAAGAAGAAGTTGTTTAATATGCCACAAAAAGGCTACCAATGTTATGGTGTTTTAAACTAGTAGCCTTTACCAAGATGATGTTTTTAAAGATAAAACTACATAGCAATTTAATTATTCTAGTCACAAGGTGATAACAGGATTTATGAAAAAATACTAATACTCTGTATGCTGCAGGCAGAGCAGGCTTGGAATGGGACACAAGTGTCCCATAGCCCTGTGCTGAGCACGGTCACATTTTAGATGATATAGATTGTCTGATCTTGAGGCTTCTGTGAAAGTGAGTCCACAACCCCTCCTCCCATTCCCATCCTGGTCTCCCCTTCCAGCCCCCACTCCAAAAGACTCTGCAAGTACAAGAGGAAGCCAAGTCATGCACATTCCTGGGGCCTTGAGTTGCCAGGTTTCAGGAATGCCCCGTCCCTGGTCTCCCTGGCCAGAGCTGACGGTGCCTCCAGCACAAATGCGGTGGCTGGGGAGACTTGTCCTTGGGAAGGAGCTGGTTGGGATGCTTGCTCCGCATGATCTGACTGTGCCCGTGGTTTCCAGGAGGTCCTAACGTCACCAAGGGTCACTCTGGACCACGAACCCTGCTCCCAAGATGTGGCTTGCCCAAGATCACACAGGGCCCTCCGAGACCTGAGTAGGGGATGCCTTGGCAGGAGACTGTTTCAGAGCTCATCTGTGTGTCCCCAGGGCTTAGCAGGAGCCTGGCATTGTCCTGTGGGCATCAGTAAATGTCTGCTGGGTGACTATCAGCAGCCATCACTTGCTGAGTGCCAGGAACTGGGGCAAGTGTGCCAGCCCATGTGATGTCACTGAATCCTCCCTCAGCTCAGGACGGTGGGGGCAGGCGAGGAAGCTGGAGCATAGGTAGGAGAGAATGTCTATCCGGCGTTCAACAGTTGGTGGGAGGAGCTGAGGCTTGGGCCCAGAGAGCTTAGCTTCTGCCCAGCCAGCGTCGGGAGCACAGCTGTCCAATGGAAATAGACGCAAGCCTCCCACGAAATTAAAAACATTCCAGCAGCCACATTAAAATAGAGAGGAACAGCTGAGGTTATTTTACTAACGTATTTTATTTAATCCAGCGTAAACAACTGATTACCATAGTATGAATATAAAAATTATTAGTGTGATTTTTTTAACATTCTTATTTGTTTGCTAGGTATTCAAAATCCAGTGTGTATTTTAACCTGCAGCCCATCTGAGCTTGCGTTCGCTGCCCTCCCAGTGCTCCACAGCTTCTAGGCCGGGTGGCTTCAGCATGGAGCAGGTCTGTGCCGCAGTCAGCGGATGAGTATGGAAGTATTCGAGCTGTGTGTTGCTGAGTGGAGTGTGGGGAAGGCAGAGCTGGAGAGACAGGCCTGAGCACATGTCTCGGGCTCCCGAGGGCCCTGTGGGTCTCCCCAGGTGTCGTGCCGGTGAAAGGGGGCTGCCTCAGCCAAGGAATGTCTCTCTAGTGGCGGCCCCCACCGAGGCGTGGCCCCACTTCCGTTCACTGAGCGGCAGGGAGGGCTTGCTGGTCTGTGCGCAGCCCTGGCTCTGAGCTCTGTTGCTTTTGGCCAGGAGTTCTTGTAAAACTCCCAGAGCACAGAACAGGTACGATGTGTTCCTCAGAAAAGGTTATGAGGTTTCAGACACAACAGAGGTTCTGAGTATTTGTACAAAGAGAGTTCATCTCCGGCCTGTGTCTGGAGTGAAGTCATCAGACCCATGCATCATGGGGTTGCCTTGGCTGATGCCTCGAAGGGTTCAGAGGTGATCAGTTCTGGAGAGACTGGAAGTCACAGACTGGGGGTGGGGGAGCAGTAGGAGCCAGTGTTTTCTCCAATGCAAGGGGCTCAAAAACTGCTGCTTAAAACATTTCCTAGGGGTCCGTGTTTTATTTAGCCTAGTGTTCACGATGCCTGCTGGGCACCTGCGTCCCACATGGGAGGACCTGGGTTCAACACTGGGCTCTAGCGCCTCACTTCAGTTTCCTGTTAATGCAGCCCTGATGGCTCAGGTGATCGAGTTCCTACCATTCACGTGGGAGACCTGGATCGTGCTTCTAGCCTCTAGCTTTGGCCCAGGCCCAGCCCCGAGCCCATGGCAGATACTTGGGAAGTGGAACCCGTAGTAGGAGTCCTCTTTCTCTCTCTCTCCCCCTCTCAAATAAATAAATGAAGACATGTTTAAAAAGTCCCCAAGTTGGTCCTAAGAGGGTGGGTGGTGAGAAGGCTCCCTGGACCAGGCTCTCCCGTCGGGATTCCTGGGTTAGGGGCAGCGGGAGGAAGTCGCAGCTCAGACAAGGTTCTGTAAAGGAGACTTGGGGCTTGGAGCCGTTTTGGTTTTGGGGGAGTATTCCTTTGTGACTTGATTTCTGCCGAAACATTTTAGATTCAGGATCACCCAGTGGCTCAACGAGTGGCTGGTCTGAGATCCCACAGGGACGGTGGATGCTGGGTGGGTAGTGAGTGCTGTGTGGCTTGCAGGGTGTGTGGGCAGGAAGAGTGGTGAAAGGGTAGAAGTGGGCAAATTATTTTTTTACCATAACCCTCCACCCCGATTTGATAATGGTTGTATCCACCAAGGCAGGAGTTGGGTAGCAGGTTGCTCATTGCTAGGGGTGGGCCAGAGTGAGGGAAGCACGGAGTCCATGCAGCGGGCCTGTGGCCAAGGTCAGGTTCTCCCCATGGGCTTCCTGGCAGAAAATCCTTGGGCAAGCCTGAGTCTCAGCTTTCCTATCTGCGCAATGGGGCTAGGAGCGCCCGCCTTCCTTGTATGCTCAAATTAGATGCTGCACATGGAAGTGCTTTATAGAGCAGTGCACCCTCAAATCCTGGGGTTACTTTTACTAACCCCTCTGTGTATATTTTAGGGTTTATTCACTCAACAGCCTTTAGATATGGTGCTATTTTATCAGGATTAAAATTGTTTTCATTATGAGAAATGTCTAATGCACTGAAACATAGCAGGGACAGGATAAGGAGCCCCTGTGCCCTGCAGCCAGCTTCAGCGACTCCTAGTACGTCATCGAGCAGTTGTAGCTCACTTTATAACAATCCCTTTCATTAACTGAGTTTCCAAGGGCTTTAAGCCCTTTGAAGTACAATCTTGCTGGGCACATTACCACGAAATCTGTCCTCTTGCTTGGGAAAACGGGTGCTTTTGCATGTCCAGCTTTTTGGACTGCCATGCTGTCACCATCTGGCATTGGATTTTCCTGAAACATCTAATTGTTCCTGGCGACGTGGTGTCACCCCGTGGGCACCAAGCACCCTATGGCTCCCCTCACCCTTCCTGAAGCCTTGAGGGCACATTCAACCCTCTCAAGAGTTTGAGGCCCTGCTTTTCAACTTGCTTTAATTGGAAGGGAGAGGGTTGTCTGGAGCCTAAATGATTATTTACACGAGAAGGGAGCGGCTGGTGGGAATAACAAGGGAGCTGAGAGTTTATCGGCTCCAGCTCCCTGCATCCATCATTCAGCCGCCACATAGGCGCTCCTTGCAAGTGGCACTCTGGGGACAGTCACCCATCCCTTGCCCGGGTACAGAGGTTTTGGTGGGAGAGGTGGGGGGGGGGGCCTCAGGGGTGAGGGCTCTTCCGAGGGTCCAAGACGGGGAGGGTCCATGTGTGTCAGCAGGCTTGCCCGTGTGGTTCTTCCCTTGCCTAGGGAACCGCACTAGGGACGGTGCTTGGCCAGATGTACTCTGGGCAGCTGTGAAGGTCAAAGGTGAAGGCCAGGAGATGACCTGGCCCTAGGAGAGTGTCTGGCACATGGGAAGCGCTCGGTGAATTGGTTGAAGAATGGGAGGAAAGGAAGGAGCGAGGGAGGGCAGGAGGGAAGCAAAAGCTACATCTGTCCACCCATTATTAATGAGTCACCATAAATCTCTCATTTCAGGATAAGGAAATGTCATTAGAAGGTCCCTGAGGGAGAAAAATGCCTGCGTCCTCTGGGCTAGGAATGCCTTTTTCCATTTTTCCTTCCTGTAAAAATTGTATTCCCATCTCTGGGGCTTAGCGCAAGCCGTATTTCCAAAGAGGTTTGGGAGGACTTCTGGCAAAATCCATCCCTCCACCCCTACCCTGCCTTTGACAGTTCTGTAGGCTGGGGATGCTCGTTGCTGCAGATCCTCGGATGCCAGGGCTGGCGACTGGGCACTGCGAGGCCACAGAGGCCGCTGAAGCTGAGAGGGCAAGTGACTTGCCCAGGGAGACGCAGCTAAGACACCGTGAGCCGTGTGGATTCCAGAGCCCCTGCTGGCCTGGGTACCTCCCAACCTCTGCTTTTGGCTCCCTCTGTCTGGGCAGCTTTCCAGGAAGAAGAGGCCTGTACTTTTGGGTCCGCCTGCAGTTAAGGCGCGTAGGTGTGCTCCTCCTCCGGGCTGGCTTCCCAGTGCCCTGTGTTGTAGGCAGCCATGTGGATCCGTTCCCACTGCACGCTCTTGGGGGGTGAGGGCATGGCTCCTCCAAGGTCCCTGCCGGGCTCTGTGCATGTCAGTACCCAGCAGGGCTGGTAAGACTGCTAGCGTAGGGGCTCCAAAGAACCGATTGTGAACCCCTTGTGGGCTGGGGTCTGTCTGGCTTGTTCAGTGTTGAGCGTAGGATCAGTGCGTAGTGTGTGTTGATCAACTTCCCCAAAGCATGCTTGTGGGTTCTCTGGCTACTGCCAAGAGGCAGGTAACCGGCCGAGGGTCTGCCCAGGGTGGGGGGCCCTGCCCGTGGTAGACAGTGGCTCTGCTACTCCTTCCCGGCGCCGCTGCCACACCGCTGTGGTGGGCTTCTGCGTGTCTGGACTGTGTCCCATAGCACATGGCTCCCCGGACAAATTTCTTTCCACCCCGACTCGCCCAGGCTGCCCTCCAGTAGTCCCTAGGGTGGAGGGCTTGCTGCTGTGTCCCTTCCCTGGCTCCTCTTCACCACCCGGCCTCGCCTTCTCTCATCATCTACGGGAGAACGCGGTGTCCGAGCCTCTAATCCCTGGCCCCGGGTGTGCCCTTGAACTTTACTTTTAAACAAAGCTTCCCGACCCCAGCAGCGCTTGGGTCACATTCCCAGAGAGCCTGCAGATGGGGGCCGAGTCTGTTTATTTTCTAAGATTTCAGAAAACATGCCTTTTTTCCCTCCTCTGACCTTAAACAAAACTTTTTTTTCCCCCTCCGACACTTGTATTTTTAACCTCATGAGAAAATACGGTACGGGAGCAGATTTTATTTTCAGAAACCGTCATTCTTCAAGATTTTCAAAATTAAAATAAAACAAGCTTGGGGGTAGACGAGAGTAAGGAAGGGTACTTTTCGGTTTTGGTGCTGGAGTGGGGGAGGGGAAGGCTCCCTAGAGCTGTTTTCTGCCCAGCCCCCGTGTCTGTGACCGGTGCTGGACTTCTTCCGGAAGTTTCTGCACGTGGAGCCTGCAGCGACTTAGTTGTTATTGTGAGCACCTTTTCCTCTCCTGCAGACTGGGACTGACTGGGCCCACCGAGGGCCCTGTACAAGCCCTTCCCTCCCACACAGGAAGTGCCAGTGCCTTCTCTTTAGGGGAGGGCACTGTGGGCTGGGTGGGCCACAGTAACTGCCCTGCTCAAGGCCCTCCTCCCACGGTGGGGGTCACGAGATGCTGCAGTCCGGGGACGTTTGCTAGCCCTGAATTCTCATCTGGGTCACAGGAGCTGAGGCCCAGAGAGGTGGGCGACTTGGGCAAAGTCACCTGCCACTCAGACAGTAGTGCCTGGTGAGGGGCGGGCCTCAGGCTCTCCTGGTCCTGGTGCTGGCTGCTCCCCGTGGCCCAGCCATAGCTGACCAGTGGCTTTCAGCACCAGCTCCCTCTGGCTCCCCAGTACTCTTGTTCTCAGTTTGTACAACACCCCCTCCTCCATTTCTTTGCTCAGCCCCCAGCGGGGGTCATGCAGCACAGACATCTAAGTTTCAGTGTTCTTCTAGAATGGAAAAACTGGCATTTTGAGCAAGTCCTTATTGATTGACAGCAGCCACAAAAGAGACAGAAAACCCAGTCACTGCTTAAGTAGTGCAGTTCAGCGGGAACCCAGCAGCTGACCAGCTCCTTCTTACTGCCTCCGCCCCTTCCCACCACTCTTTCCCCTTCCCTCGCCTTGCTGCTCCGCCTGGTCCAGCCCAGTCCTCCTCTCACCTGGCTTGTGCAGCAGTCCCCGAAACACCTCCTCTCCCGGTCTTGCCCCTGTCATGATGGTTCTCAGACCTGCGTCTGGCCAGTCTCCCTTCCCTGACCTGGCTCCAGCCTCTGCCTGTGGCCCTCACCCAGGGCCACAGCCCCCGAAGCCCTCCTCTGTGCCGCAACCACCTGCTCGTCCTTGCGAGGCCTGCAGAGATGTCCCTCCTCCTGGGAGCCCTCCTGTTGCTGTGGATTCGTTCTGAGAGGAGCGTGGGGGGGCAAGAGGCACAGAGTCACCACACAGACCCAGGGAGCAGGTGAAAGCAGCCCAGAGCCGAGCGGCCGCAGACTCGTTTATTTCAGTTGGTACAGCAGCTTATATAGCTGAGGCAGCCAATCCGGTCAAAGGGTGGTTTATGCCCTAACCAATCACAACCAATTGCCAGGCAGGCTCTGTTGCTGGGTGGGTTCTGAAGCCATTCCTGAGTAACTGACGCTGGCTTGCCAGCGGCCATCTTGGCATGACCTTCTCATTCCACCACAGCCTCCAGGCTCCTTGAGCATGGCTTTCCCTTCCGAGCTTCTGCAGCTTCAGTTCCTGGGGGCCCGGCACCCCTCATGTGGAGACCCGGTCTTCCCTCACTTGGCTATCTCCTGGGCTGGGCTGCTCTGGGGAGGGCCTGTGCCTGACCCTTTGATGTGGCAGAGATGTAGGAAGACTCCTGGGGTCTCACAAAGCACCAGAGATTTGGCAGGAAGCTCAGTGAAGTCTGTGCCTCTTCTTAGCCACTCCCAGGGTCAGTGTCCAGCCCGGCGTTGGCATCGAGGTAGTAACAGGTGTCTGGGCACAGGCTCCCTCTGGCCACCAGCAGGACCGTGTGTTGAGTCCAGAGCTGGTATGACAGTGGCTGTGGGGTCCTGTGGCCATGGAGCTGCTTCCTAGAGCCAGGAAGGAACTGTCTCTCTTTTAGATTTATTGTATTTATTTGAAAGAGTTACAGAAAAAGGTCGAGACACAGAGAGAGATCTTCCATCCACTGCTTCACTTCCCAACTGCTGGAGCTGAGCTGATCTGAAGCTAGGAGCCAGGAGCTTCTACTGGGTGCAGGGGCCCAAGGACTTGGGCCATTCTATGCTGCTTTCCCAGCCCATAGCAGAGAGCTGGATCAGAAATAGAGCAGCCGGGATTGAAACCAGCACCCATATGGGATGTTGACGCTGCAGGTGAGGGCTTTAACCCACTGTGCCACAGTGCTGGCCCCAGAGCTGTCTCCTCGGGCTGCTGTCTCTTCTTCCTCCCCCTTCTCCACCTCCCCTCCTCCTTCATCTGCATCTGCTGCCTTGGCCTCATGGGGATCGGCCCCCTGCTCATCTGCTCATTGTTTTGGGGTTGCTGCCTTGGGCAGGTTGCTATTTTGGGGCTTCCAGAGAATCTTAAAAACAAACCAACAAAAATCATTCCACCCCACACCTGGATCTGACCGTCAGGGAGTAAGAACATTTTGAAGCTGTACATGAGCTTAACATCACCGTGTGCAGGACAGGGTAGGGTGTGGGGTGGGCTCTCCAGTGACATGGACTCGGTAGCTTACAAAGCGCCTTATGTTTTTTAAATAAAGATTCATTAATTTATTTAAAAGAGTTAGGGAGAGAGAGAGAAAGACCTTCCTTCTGCTGGATTACTCCCCAGACGGCCAAAACAGCCAGTGCTGGGCTAGGCTGAAGCCAGGAGCCAGGAGTTTCTTCGGGGTCTCCCTCACAGGTGCAGGGCCCATCTTCTGCTGCTTTCCCAGGCCATAGCAGAGAGCTGGATTGGCAGTGGAGCAGCCGGGACTCACACTGGCACCTATATGGAATGCTGGGGCTGCGGGTGGCGGCTTTACCTGCTGCGCCACAGCGCTGGTCCATCCATGGTGGCTCTGGGCGTGGACACTGGGCTGACTCTGTGCTAAGCTTTGAGATCTCTCAGCATCATGGCAAGCATCATGACTCCGTTTCCCAAAGGAACCGAGGCCCAAAGAAGCTGTGTTTAAGCTGCTCCTTGAGGCGTGTGGCCAGGAAGCGGCTGAGTGTGCGAGTGGCCTCCTCTGTCCTTTGACTCTATGGAAGCCTTGAGAAACCAGTGCGGGACTTTCTTTTTTTAACCTCCCATTTAACAGGTAAGAAGACAGCCCGCAGAGTCATACAGAGGCGCTTCTGCCTGCACCCAGGCTGCTGAGTTCTGATCCGCGTGCTTTCCCTGGCCGGTCCTACTCGGGCTCTGCTCCCTGGCGGGGTGGAAGCTGGGGTGCAAGCTTGACCCTCAGTGGCGGAGCAGCACTGGGGTTACAGCTGGTGCTCGGGGTGTTGAGATCTCGCCATGCCACCCCTTGGCCTGCTGGTGGTCTTTGCCCATGGGCGTTGGCAGGTCCGTTCATGTCCACTCTCCAGTGCCAGGTGTCTTTCCGGGGAGAGTGGGCAGTGTGCATCTCTGTACCTCCCGCTCTTCCAGGTCGACCTTGTGCCCACCTCCTTGCTGCCTGCAAGATTCTCCAGTGGTGTGGATAGGAGCAGATGGTGGCCTGGAATCCAGGGCCATCCAACCTCTCCAAGGCAGCAGTGAGCTGCCCCATCCCTCTGGTGGTCTCTGCAGGGGGTACCCTGGTCAGGAGTGGGAACTCTCCTTTCTTGAGATGTTAAGCCTGATGCAGACACCCATAGATGCGGGAGCCAGCGTGAGTCTGTAACACCTGCCCAACCCCCGGGGACGGGAAGCTGAGCCCTCTGCTTTGTGGTGCTGGGGAAAGGCTGAGACCCGGGGCTGCAGCAGTGCGGACACTCAGCCTCGCCAGCTGCTTTTGGGGTGGGCGTGTGTGGCCTGGGCATTTGCTGCAGACCCCTCCTTGGGGCAGAAAGGGGCACCTGGGCCTGGGTGAGAGGTGTGTGTAGGACTGAGCAAGCCTTGCACAGAGCCAGGTTCGAATCCCCACTCTGCCGTTTGGCCGCAATTCTGAACCTTTCCTGGTCACGATTTCTCTGTAAGGTGAGACTGTGCCCACTTATAAGTGCCCTGTGGGGTCCAGCCTTGCCCAGGAGGTGCTCTGGACGTGAGGAGCAGGCGCCCTTTGCCCCAGCCAGGACCCAGGAGTTCGAGTGAGTTGCTGGGCACTGTGGAATGTTTGGATTCGGAAAGGAGCTTTTCCAGGCCAGTGTTGTCCTGACGGGTCCTCCTCCGGCCCCTGCTAGGCCTGACTGCTGGGTTCTCCCCTCCCAGTGCTCTGTTCTCAAGAGATGGCCGGGGCTTCAGGGCCGGGCACAGGCTGGCAGAGGCAACAGAGCAAGCTGTCGGGGCTCGGATCCAGCCTCCTCCACGTGGCCAGGCCACTTCTCTTGCCCGCAGGCCTGAGGTGGACAGGTGGGAGAGAGGCCAAGATGACGATTTCTAGAACTTAGGAGGCTGCAGGCCAGGGGCTGGCACAGCATGGTCCAAGGCCAAATCTGACCTGCTGCTGTTTTTGTAAGTAAGGTTTTATTGGAATTCAGCCGTGCCCATGTGCACGTCATCTCCAGTGCTCCTGCTCTGCAGTGGCAGAGTTCAGTGGCCTGGCAGGGACGCCTGGTCTGCAAAGGTGAGGCCATTTACAGAAAGAGGTTGCTACCCCTGACGGGGACCATGCACATCTCAAGGGCGGAAGCCACTCAGCCGGGAGTGTCCTCCTGTCCTCCTTTGCTGGATGACCTGCTTATGCCGTATGGGAGGGCCTGGACTCAACTCTGGGCTGGACACCCAGTAGATTAGTTTATTAGTGGAATAAATAAGGGGAAAACCTATTAGTATGATCTGAGTTTCAAGGAATAAAAAATGACCAGTGGTTTAAACAATAACAAATGTCTATCATCCCATGTAAGAAATCTGCAGCTGTGTGGCCCCAGGACCCACTCTGTAGCTCAGCAGGGCCATCAAAGAGGACCCAGGCTGTCCCCTTCTTTCTCTACCAACATCCTCAACATATTGACTTGGTCCTCAAACTTTTTTCCTCTTGTGACAAAATGGCTGCCACAGTCCCAGTCATCACATCTAGTACTGTTAAGACATTCAGCTGAAAAAGGGCTTTCTCTCTTTTCATCTGTGAGGAATGGAGTCCTTTCCCAAAGTTCCCCAGCTTTGGGATTCCCCCCGTCCTGCCGTCCAGGACCGGCACTCGGCACCTGCCCTCACTGCAGGGGGCACTGTTTCTGACTCCACAGTTAGGAGCGGGCCCTGTCTACAAGGATTAAAGGCAAGGGAAGCACTCGCCGTTGGATGAGCACTGTTTGAAGTCTGCCACAAGGCTCCACTGCAGAAGGAAGAGGGGCTGTGTGGCTCTGGCCGGAACGGCAGGGTCGGCAGGGAAAGCTTCCCGGAGGAGGGCCTGGGGCCACTGCTGGAAGGCCGGGTGGTGACAGAGGATGCCCGGCCTCTGGCGGATTCCGGCTGCTGAGGGGAACAGTTGCCACGGTTGCAGGCACAGCTCTCACAGGGATAGGGTTTGAACAGGATTTGGCTCCTGACTACGCTGATGTTTAAATCCCAAATGGCACTCCAATAGCACACAGAGGGTGGAGGCTTGATCTAGTTACGGTGTCGGCGGGTGGGGCTTTGGCAAGTGATGGATTAGGCTGCCGGGGCAGAGCCCACGGCTGGCTCCCGGTGGTTCTGTAAGGAGAGTCCACAGATTCAAGATGGGGTACAGCCCCGTCTCTGCCTCCTGCTTGCGCCATGATCTCTCCCCTGCACACCTCTCAGCCACCGTCCCCCCCAGACTGCAGACCTGCAAGGCTGTGAGAGCGACACGCCATGTTCCCTCCTGAGTGGCCCTGGACCCCTTCAGTCCTGGCAATGAAAAGCTGATGGATGCACACGGGTTTGTGTATTTTTTTTTCCTCCTAGAATCAGTTTTTCATCCCTCTTCCTGTAGGTTCCTTAGAACAACCCTTAAGGGAGGTTATAAATCTTGTCTTCATTTCACAGACAAGTGAAGTGGCTTGTCCACAGACAGCTAGTGCTGGGGCCAGAGCTTGCGACTGTCTGAGTCAGGTGCAGGGCCAACTCCAGTGGCCCGGCACAGAAGCACACGGGAGCACCCACGCCCAGCTGCCCAGTCTGCGAACACTTGCTGCTGACCTGGCACCTGTGGTCCCCGCTGGGGCTGGCAGCTCCTAACAGCAAGGCAGGTGCAGGGTCATCTGGGATAGGGATTTAGGGGCGTGGGTATGTCTGAGCACCTGGGGGCCAGCCAGGCAGGAGAGAGGGTCAGGGAGCACTGTGCAAAGGGACTTCCAGGGGGCTGGCCTGTGGCGTAGTGGGCTGGTCTGTGACCTACAATGCCGACGCCCACACAAGCAGCTCCATTTCTGTTCCAGCTCCCTGCTGATGCCCCTGCCTGCCCACGTGGGAGACCTAGATGGAGTCCCAGGCTCCTGGCTTCGGCCTGGCTGAGCCCTGGGCATTGTGGCCATTTGGGTAGTGCACCAGTAGATGGAAGATCTCTCTGTCTCTCCTCTTTCTCTAATTCTGCCTTTCAAATAAATTTTAAACAAAAAAAAAAACAAAAAAACAAGGGACTCCTGGGGGACTTGGTGTCCCAGTGCTTAGTTGTTCTGCACACTGCGGGCAGGCGGGCAGCAGTGGGGCGCTGCGTGGGCCCAGCCCCTACGCGAGATTGGTCCAGAATAGAAGCTGCTGGACGGAGACCAGCTCTTTCTCCAGTGCGGTGAGAAGAGCCGGTGTGATGACACTGCAGCGTTGGCTATGGACAGGGCCTCGCGTCTACCGGGTGTTCCATAAATGATAGCACAGTCCTGTCACCGTCAGCGTCGTCATCCTTGTCATGCTCAGTGTCACCGCCCCCTCGGTTGCAGAGGCAGAGCCCCGGCAGCCTGGAGGGGGCGAGGAACCTGGCTGCCTGCTTCGCAGAGGGCAGGCGTCTGGCTCTGGCCCGCTGCTCTCGCACAGGACTGCCTGGCGGAACCCAGCAGGAGCGTTCTCACCTGGTGGTCTCACAGCGGCAGGTGCGCACCCTCATTGAGACCCACTCTTGCCTGCCTGGACCCTGTCTCCTCCTCAGATGTTCGTCCCTCGGGCTCAGGCCTGGGCTGTCTTCTCCTCTCACTCCTGCAGGCCCTTGGGGTGTCCACTCAGAGCTAGCGTGCCCGGAACACACGTTCCCCATGCGAGCTGAGTTCAGTGCTGATCCTGCCCTGCGTAGTCCTCACGGCGCAGCCCTCTGGGGTCTGTCCTGCTTGTTTACTCAGCAGCATTGCTGCAGTCCTACTGTGTGGCACAGTCCCAGATGCTGAGTGAGGCAGACCGATCCTGCTTCTGAGGGGTTGACACCTGGTGCACATTCCAGAATGGGGAGCAGAGCCGAGAGCCGAGAGCTGAGAGCAGAGTCCTCTCCTCCCATCCTGCCCTTGGGCACAGAGGCACCAGCGAGAGGGCCGTGCCCTTGAGCGCTTGCTTTCTTGTAGCACCAGTGGCCACGTCTCCCTGTACCTCCAGCCCAGGTGTCTGGACACCATCGTCTCTGCCTGGGTGTCCAAGGCGTTTCAACTGGGCATTTCCGTGGACCTCGCTGTTGGTCTCTTTTCGTCCTCTCCAAACTTGCCCTTCCTCTTCGCCTGACTCTCCAAATGGCTGGGTGTCTGATCCATACTTCTGTCTCCCATGCTCTCCAAGTTGTGTTATCAAGAGTGGTCATGGGGCCAGCGCTGTGGCACAGTGGGTAAAGTCGCGCCACCTGCAGTGCCGGCATCTCATATGGGTGCTGGTTTGAGACCCGACTGCTCCACTTCTGATCCAGCTCTCTGCTATGGCCTAGGAAAGCAGTAGAAGATGGCCCAAGTACCAGGGCCCCTGCATCCACGTGGGAAACCTGGAAGAAGCTCCTGGCTCCTGGCTTTGGATCAGCCCAGCTCCAGCTGTTGCAGCCACCTGGGGAGTGAACCAGCAGATGAAAGATCTCTCTGTCTCTTCCTCTGCCTCTCTGTAACTCTGACTTTCAAATAAATAAATAAATCTTTAAAAAAAAAGTGGTTGCATCCACTTCCAGTGCCTCTGGGGCCCCATCCCCACCACCCCTGCCGTGGCTCCAGGCCTTCCTTCTCCCTTGCCAAGCTTGGTTGTGTCCAGCCTTGCTGTCCCGTCTCTCAGCCTTTGCTATACTGTTCCTCCTGGCAGGAATGCGCTTTACCCCTGTCACACACCTCACGCCCTCCCATTCTTGCCAAACTTCCCTCTCTGAGCACCCCTGCTGGCCCCCACACTCCTGCCACCCCCCTGTGGCCTGACCTCCTACAGGCTGGCATGTCCATCTGACCCCACCACCTGGGAGTGCAGGGGCCAGGCCTTGGTACCTTTTTCATCACGGAAGTTCGGTTGAGCATTTTATTTATTTTTTTAATTAATTAATTTATTTGAAAGGCAGAGGCAGAGACAGAGAGAGAGAGAGGTCTTCCCTCCACTGTTTCACTCCCCAGATGGCAAAAATGGCCAAAGCTGAGCTGATCAGGAGCTGCTTCTGGGTCTCCCACATGGGTGAAGGGGCCCAAGCACTTGGGCCATCTTCTACTCCCTTCTCAGGCCATAGCAGAGAGCTGGATCTGAAGTGGAACAGCCAGGACTTGAACCGGTGCCCATATGGGATGCTGGCATCACAGGGAGCAGCTTAATCCATACCCCATAGCTCCGGCTCCTCCATTGTCATCTCAAAACCCAGAAGAGGTGTTTGTCGACTGACGGAATGGATAGTAGGTGGATATTGGAGTAGGTTTGGCAGACTGAGTGTGGGGCCTTGGACTTCTCTTTGACACCAGAGGCAGACAGCAGAAGCCGGCGTCTCCCCACAGAGCCTTGTGTGAGTCTAGTTCCCCGGTTCCCAAACTGGTAACCAAGCTGGGAATCCGACTCTCAGGTTCTGGGTGGGGCCCCTGGGGGAGCCCTGGAGGACCCTCGTGGGAGAGCTGAATATCAAGGTGTAGTTCAAGCCCGCGCTGATGGGCGGGGCGCTGGGATGGGGGAGGAGAGGAGCGGCTTGCTGCCACCTCGGTTTTGCCGTGTTGGAGCAGGCACGGGACACCGGGCTTTGCACGGTGCACGGATCCCCTAGGTGGGCAGGTGCCTCGAGGGGAGGTAGCCCTGGTCCCTGCGGTGTGCCCGGGTGCACTGGGGAGGTAGCCCTGGTCCCTGCGGTGTGCCCGGGTGCACTGGGGAGGTAGCCCTGGTCCCTGCGGTGTGCCTGGGTGCACTGGGGAGGTAGCCCTGGTCCCTGCGGTGTGCCCGGGTGCACTGGGGAGGTAGCCCTGGTCCCTTTGGTGTGCCCGGGTGCACTGGGGAGGTAGCCCTGGTCCCTGTGGTGTGCCCGGGTGCACTGCAGTGAGCAGCCTGCTGTAGAGGCTCAGTCGCTGCGAGTTTGGATTTTTTTCTTTGAACCCCAGTCATCATTATCCCCAAAGAATATTGCTGGTGAATGGAAGAATGCGTGTGTCCTGGGAGCCTGGGTGCCACCGCACCCCATTTTTACAAGAACTGGCAAATGTATTTTTAAAATTGAGAGGTGCACAGGAAGCAGGCCTGCAGGGAAAGAGAAAAGAAGTCTTCTGTGCGTTGGGGTGTGAAGTTGACCTTGGCCCGCGGTTTCCTGTAGGACCCGCCCTGGGGCTTGGGCCTCTGTCCAGCTCAGTGGGTCCGTGCTGCTAGTAGTTTCTCACCCACCGGAGGGCGACTTGGAAAGAGGCAAAGCAAGGCTTTGAGGAAGCCGGGGGAGTGACTAGTGTGCTATGGCTGTGGGTCACGGTGATGGCGATGGTAAAGGCTGGAGAGCAGCGTCCATGGGCAGTGGGTAGAGGGCAGGGGTGCCCCCTTGATGTCTATGCATGGTCCTGGGCAAGAAGGCCAGTTTGCCCTGGTCCCCTCAACAGTAGGAGATTTTCCCACTGCCCTTCGCTGCCAAGGAGTCGATAGCACCTGTGTTCTAAGACGTGCAAGCTGGAGGCTTGCAGGGGACGCCAGCTGGTTATTAGGGGGTGCTGGCCACACAGGGAAGTGGACATTCTGCTGGAAGCGTTTGACAAAGCGCACACTTTGTGGAACCCCTGACAAGAAACCGAGCAGGACCAGCACCCAGGGGCCCCTGGGACCCCATGGTGGCTCCATTGCCCTGGGGTTTGCCTCCTTGGAACCCCTGTGCGGCTGGAGTCAGGCGACGTGTGCCCTTCTGCATCTGGCTGTGCCACTCACGCTGTCTCTGTCATCATGCAGGCCACTGTCCCGCACTTGAGTCTGTGTTCATGGAAACCCCAGGGAGTCCAGGGAGGGGGTGTTTCCTGGGGTACACAGAGCAGGAAGCCCAGACTTGGGGCACCCCCGAGGTGGCCCCGTGTCGGTGGTGAAGGGATGCCAGGCTCTCCAAGTGCACCTGCTTCCTAGGCTCCCTGCCTCCCTGCTGTGCTGTGGCTTTCAAATTGTGAACCCAGCCAGAAACCTCCAGCGGGCTTGCCTTTGTGGGGCACGTGGTCTGAGGCTGGCATGAGGGTGGCCTTTTCCTGGGGCCTCGTGTTGAGGTGACACCCTAAGGAGCACGGGGGCTGCTCTGTCCTCACAAAACGCTGTCAGGCCTCTGCAAGGCAGGCTGTTCTCCGGGGCTGTGAAGCCCACATGCCTGACCAGTGGGAGCCATGGATTGTTCTATGACTTGGCTACTCCATTCTCTTTCTTTATTTTTTTTTTTTTTAAATTTTACATAGGGGTTGGCACTGTGGTGTAGCAGGTAAAGTGGCCACCTGCAGTGCTGGCAACCCATATGGGCACTGGTTCAAGTCCCGGCTGCTCCACTTCCAATCCAGCTCTCTGCTATGGACTGGGAAAGCAGTAGAAGGTGGCTCAAGTCCTTGGGTCCCTGCACCTGCATGGGAGACCTGGAAGAAGCTCCTGGCTCCTGGCTTTGGTTCAGCTCAGCTCCAGCTGTTGCAGCCAATTGGGGAATGAACCAGTGGATGGAAGACCTCTCTCTCTCTGCCTCTCCTCCCTGTGTGTAATTCTGATTTTCAAATAAATAAATAAATCTTTTAAAAAATTTTTGAGAGAGAGAGAGAGAGAGAAACAACCCCCCCCCCTTTTTGTTTGACAGGCAGAGTGGACAGTGAGAGAGAGAGACAGACATTTTTTTTCTTTTCTTTTCTTTTCTTTTCTTTTCTTTTTTTTTTTTTTTTTTTTTGGACAGAGAAACACCCCTCTCATCTGCTGGTTCATTCCCCAAATGCCTGGGAGCCAGGAACCCCAACCAGGTCACCCATGTGGATGGCAAGGACCCAAGTATGTGGGCCATCATCTGCAGCTCCCAGGCGCACTAGTAGGAAGGTGGTTTGGAAATGAGGTGGGGCTTGATCCCGGCGTTCCAGTACTTGATGGTGGGTGTTCCCAGCAGTGGTTTAGCCCACTGCACCACTGTAAATGGGACCGACTGCACCAGCAAACTGTTCATAACTCCGGTTTTTATTTGGGGGGAGGGAGGGCGGGACACTAAAGGTCCAGCACCCTCTTGCTCCTGGCATGGCCCTGTCTGCGAGTGGGTTGCAGCTGAAGGACATGCTGGACGGGGTGACTGGAGTGCACCTGTGGAGGTGGCTCTGGGACACGTCCTGGCTGGCAGCTGCTGGGGAAGTGACTTGATCCGCTGGGAGGGATGTCTCCCTGCCCCAGAAACTGTCCATGGCTCTGCTTGGAACTTGTTGGCTTACTGGCCCGCTCCTGGGCTTTCTAAATCCCACTGCAGTGTTTTCTTGTTTCCTTACAGCACTTCCCCACTGCCTGTTTCTGTGCCAGACATTACTAATCCATTGTGAGACTCCTACCCATTGATCCCGCACCCTGCTTTGAGTTCCAGAACTCTAGGAGCCACTCCGTCTGGTTGGAGCTCATTTACTTCATTCATGTGTTTTGACATTGCAGCCCTGAGAGTAAAGTGAGTAGAGTGGAACCCCACTTTCTCCTGAGATTTGATTTCTTGTGGAAGGGCTGGACGTGAAGGAAAGATGTGTCCCCCCATTGTTATCTAGCTGGGTGATTTTGTATTTTTCCTTTTAGTTTCTATTTTTCTTTTAAAGATTTTATTTTATTTGAAAGGCACAATTGCAGAGATAGGGTTGGTTCACTCCCCAGTTGGCCGCAACAGCCGGAGCTGCGCCAATCCGGAGCCAGGAGCCAGGAGCCAGGGACCAGGAGCTTTTTCTGGGTCTCTCATGTGGGTGCAGGGGCCCAAGGACTTGAGCCATTTTCTGCTGCTTTCCCAGGCATAGCAAAGAGCTGGATCAGAAGTGGAGCAGCCGGGACTCAAACTGGTGCATATGTGGGATGCCAGCATTGCAGGCAATGGCTGAATCTGCTATGCCACAGTGCTGGCCCCTTAAAACTGTTTTGATTAACATCTAATACTTGTCCATTTTTTGTGAGGTACTGTGCGGTATTTCAACACATGTATACAGCATGAACCGGTCCCGTCAGGCACCTGGCATTTCCTTTTCCATATCTCTTTTCTTTGTGTTTGGAGCCTACCAGCTGCTGCCCTCTGGTTCTGTGACAGTTTTGGAGCAGTCACTGTGTCCTGGTCCCTTTGCCTCTGCAGAGGGGTGACTGGGGGCTGGCGGGGGCTGTCCTGTCCAGGAGGAGGTGTGTACACAGGAGCCGGCCGTCTTCAGGTGTCATTTGCTGCTTTCAGAGCAATATTTTCCAGGAGACTTGAAGTTTGTCAAGCAAATACCTGGGCTCCCAGCCTGTGGGGGTCTCACACTCACAGGTTGCTAGGGGAGTCCCCAGAATATATGCAAGAGGTAGGGCATGACTTTGTGCGCATCCCACTTGTGTCTCCTTGGGTGACACCCCTTTTCAGGAGGGTTCCCAGCGGCAGGGGCACTCTCCTTGCACCGGGTTTGGGGGTGGTGGTGCTCTGTGCTCTGCACGTTTCTTCCCTACACCATTCCTGCCTCTGCTCGCCGGAACTGCCTGCTCCTTTTACCACGGCGGTGCTGGGCAGAGAGTGGGCTTGGAGGTGTCTGGGAGGTGGCAGCTCAGCTCTCACTTCCACGTTTGGTACCTGTCACCCAGTGCACCTTCCAAGTGCAGCTTGACTGGCCGGCCAGGTGCACCAGGCCTCAACCCAGCCTTGCTGGGCGTTTGCACCTACGCATAATCTGAACGTGACTACTCCGCGGGACCAGAAGGCAGCCAGGCGCTCAGGAGTGGGCGGCCTCTCGGGATCCTTCCACACAGGGATCCTGGGGGCCCCAGGGTGCCTGGCAGCCCCACCTGCCCCGCTGCTGTGTGTGGGTGCCGCCACTCGGGCAAAGGTTGTTCTGTTGAGAGCATCTGCCCCCTTTCTCCTTCTCCGGTCGCCCCAGCAACCGTCGCCCGAGGCAGTGAAGAAAGGGGATTTAGAGATCCCTGGATCCAGCCCTGGGCATTTTACAACAGGGGTGGGGGCACCCGGAGGATCTGTGACCTTCCTGAGTGCACAGGGCGTAGGAGGTGAACACGTGTGCGTATGGAGGGCTCCCTATGCACTGAGTGACCAGGGCAGGTGCAGTTGGCAGGGTTGGTGGCCTGAGAGTAGACCAGTAAGCAAGCAAGATCATGTTCTGTGAGTAAGTAAACACCTGAGAAACAGGTGAGGGCCTGGTGCTGTGGCACAGTTGGATAAAAGCCAGCGCCTGCAATGCCGGCATCCCATATGGGTGCTGGTTTGAGTCCCAGATGTTCTGCTTCCAATCCAGCTCCATGCTAATGGCCTGGGAAGGGCAGCAGAGGATGGCCCAAGTGCTTGGGCCCCTGTACCACATGGGAGACCCGGATAAAGCTCCTGGCTCCTGGCTTTGGTGTGACCCAGCCCCGGCCATTGCGACCATGTGGGGAATGAGCCAGTGTATGGAGGATCTCTCTCTCTCTCCCTCTCTCTTTCTCTCTCTGACTTTCAAATAAATAATAAATAAATCTCAAAAAAAAAAGAAGTAAAGAAATGGATGAGCTCCTTTCTATTGGTGTGACTTCTGTGAAGGCTATGGAGGCCGCAGGCTGGGAGAGGGTGGGACGCGCTGTGTGGGTGCAGGGGCCCTGGGAGCCGTGTGTGGGCAGGGGTGAGAGTCTGCAGGCCCTGCTGAGCAAAGGCTGGGAGGTGACGCAAGCTACTGGGCTGGAGGCAGCTGGTACAGGCCTGGTGTGCGTGTGTGTACACGTGTACATGTGTGTACATGTGTGTGTACATGTGTGTGTACATGTGGGGGGCATGAGAGGCAGATGCGGCCCATTGTGTGAGGTGTTTGGATCTCACTCTAAGCTTTCTGGGAAGTCACTGGAGGATTTTAAGTGAGAGATTTCCCTGGTTTGATTTGGGTGTGAGTGACCCCGCTTTGAAGGGTGCAAGAGTGGAGGTGGGAGAGTGACGAGGCTGGCCTGGTCCAGGGAGACAGGAGGGCACAGAAGCGTGTCTCTCCGCGGAGCCCACAGATGTGGGGTAGACCCAGTGTGGAATGGGAGGGCAGGCAAAGAGGAGGATTGCAGTGTCTCCAGCGTTGGGTGGCAAGGCTCCTGTGCTGGACCCTCTCACAGCTTGGTGTCCCCACCCCGCCAAGCACCGGGCCTGCTGGCCCCGTGGTCACCCAGGAGGGCTGACTCCCTGGCCTTTTTAGATCCAGAAGGCAGAGGGACGTGGTGTTACCTGGAACTGGGGATGTCGGAGCGCTCAGAGCTTGGCCTTCATCCTGACTGCTTCTAGTGTCCTGGCGACAGCACAGATGTGAGCCAGAGCCCACAGTGGGCAGGGCTGATGGACGCGCAGGGCATCAGGGTGCTGGGGAAGGTGTGGGGCTGACGTGATGGAGGTGCACACTGCCAGGGGTTGTACGTTCCTGGGCCACGAGTCGGTGCGCTTCTGCTGTTACCTCGGGCAACCCTGGGCCGCAGAGTGGATGTTCCTGTCCCCACTTCCTACATGCGGAAACGGGGGCTTGAAGAGTGTTTGGCCTAAGGTTTCCCAGCTAGGGAGTGGCTGAGCTCAGCATAGGGCTCTGACTCCAGACTCACTAAGTCCTAAGGGGCACTCAGCATTGTTGCCGGTGTACCACGCTGTCCTCCAAATCTAGGGGTGGGGACGTTAGCCCCAGAGGTGCCCATCCAGATCTAGGGGTGGGGGCGTTAGCACCAGAGGTGCCCATCCAGATCTAGGGGTGGGGGTTTTAGCCCCAGAGGTGCTCCGCGTGGTAGGCCAGGACCCCGGGCAGTTTGCAGAAAAAGCAGCTGCTCTCCTGGTGGGCGGTGCTGGGGCCACTCCCCCCCTTTTCTTTCATCCTGCTCTCCCCCTGCCCTTTCTTTCCATCTTGCCCCCCAAGTTTTCCTTTTGCCCACACCCCTTTCCAGAAAAATCACCAAAAAGGCTGGCTGCCGGGGCTCGGGCCCTGTGAGAGCTGCAAGGGTGGAGCCTTCTCTGGCAGGTGCAGGGCCCCACCTGACCCAGCTCTACCGGACTTCCTGCCAGTGACTGGGGAGCATGGCGCCTTCGTAGGGTTTGGGCACACTGGAAGGACGCGCCTGGGGGTGAGGATGAAGGTCACACCAGGAGGGGTTGTGCAGCTTCCTCTTAGCAGGCGGGGCAGTGACAGGAAAGGATAGAAAGTGCCCACTTTTTCCATTTCTCGCGTCTTGTGCCCTGGACTGACAGGACGCTGGACCCTGGGACTGAGCCAGTGGGCTGTGGTCGCCCCCACCACTGCCCCTGCCAAATGTAAACGTGTGGGGTGGGGATCCCTCCTGCTCTATTCCGTGTTTCCCAGCCTTCGCGCCCGCGTGGCCCCATCAGTATCGTGAGTGAGTGAATGAGTGAAATGAATGAGTAAAATGAATGAGTGAATGAGCTGCGCTGGTCTCCCTCGGCCTGTGCCGTGCATTGCAGTGGCCGTGAGCCATGTGTGGCCGTGGAGACGTGAGATGTGGAAGTTCTTAACGGAGCTGTGCTGGGCGGTACAATATACGTGGGACTTCAACGACCCTGTGAAAAACGGTGCACTGTCCCTTTAGTAGTTTTTCCTACTGACCACGTGTTGAAATGATACTATTTTGGATATATTGAGTGACATAAAGTGCGCTGTCAAACTGGTGGCTTCCTCCCCTCCCCCTTGCTGTTGTGTGGTAATGGGCACATGATGTCGGGTTTCCCAGAAGGCTGCATTGTTTCCGTCGGGTGGCGCTGCCCCGCTCTGAGGGCGGTCTTTCTAGGGTTAGAATCCTTTCTCTGCTGTGGCCAGGGAGTGCAGTGGAGGATGGCCCAAGTACTTGGGCCCTGCACCCCATGGGAGACCAGGATAAGTACCTGGCTCCTGCCTTCAGATCAGTGCGGTGGCCGCAGTGGCCATTGGAGGGTGAACCAACAGCAAAAGGAAGACCTTTCTCTCTGTCTCTCTCTCACTGTCCACTCTGCCTGTCAAAAAAAAAAAAAAAAAAAAGAATCCCAGCTGGCCCATTCCCAGCTGTGCTACCCAAAGCAGGACTCTGGGTCTCAGTTTCCTCGTCTCTGAAACAGGGCTAAGGAGGTAGACCTCACAGAGCTGGGCCCACAGATGGGAGCAGACAGAGGAGCCCTGTGTGCATCAGCCCCTCTGTCTCTCAAGGGGAAGGCTGTGACCTCGGGGGTCCGGGGTCAGACCCACGTGGGAGCCATGCTCTGGGGACTCAGCAGACAGCAGCAGTGAGCTGCTGCAGGACCGCGGGACTCAAGAGTGATAAGGTGACCCTGCCGCGAGGAGTTGTGTGATCCGAAGGCCAGGCTGCGTGGAGGGGCTTCCTCTCGGAGCCACCAGCCTGGGTGGGGCACAGGCAGCAGGGACGGGGGTGGGGGGAGGGATGGCTGCAACTGGCGCTGCTCCCATGCCTGCAGCCCCCGGCGCTCCAGGCTCTCACAACCCGGGCAGCCTCTGTGTCAGGGGCAGGCTGTGAGTGCGAGGGTGAGAGAGAGGGTGTGAATGCCAGTGTGAGAGAGCACGTAGTGTGTGTTTGAGTATATATGTGAGTGCATGCAGGTGTGCGTGTGAGTGTGTGTGAGTGGGGGGGGGGGCAGGACTTGACCCCAGCTGCATGCTGGGTGCCCACATCTCCCTCTGCCATGGAGCCCAGTAGCATCATGGCAGGTAGGGCCAGGACACGTGGCAGGCTGGTAGCCTCCCGTCTTTCTGGAGCACATTCTCCCAGTGTCCTGGCCCCAGTGTGCAGCTGTCTGCCCTCCGCCTCCTGGTTAGCTGCTCCCTGAGCCTGCTGGGTTCAGGTGCCAAGCACCTCTCAGGGCAGGAGGAAATGGCTCCTTGCAGCCCACAGGGAGCTGCGCTGAGTACCTTCCCCCTTGCCCAGCTCTGTGGCAGTGGAGGTTCAGAGCGGGGCTCTGCAGCCAGATGGGCTGGCCTTGTCCAGGGCCCCTGTGTGGCCTGGGTTCCTCTGGTCTTCACATTCAGGTTGGGGAGGCCTAAGTGGGGCTGGCCTGCGAGAGGCATTACTGAATCCCAACACTACTAGGTAGCATCGTCTCCTTGGCCCCCCTGTCCTGCCCCCCCCCCCCCAACCTGTGTTTTCCATCTTCAGTGCATTGCCTGGAAGTTGCAGGAGCCAAGGCACCCAGGGGCTGGGGGCAAGTGCAGTCTGGGGAGGGGGGCGGTGGGCCGGCAGCCCCCAGCCCAGCCCTTGCAGGTCCTGGAGCAGCTGCTACTCGTGGTGGGGGGCGTGGCTGTGGGAAATGCCCCCAGCCTGCCTGGTGAGCCGGCCCAGGTGTCAGGTGGTGGCAGCACCAGGAGGGCCCGGATGAAGCTCTCCTGAGCCTTACCTTGCGTTGGGAGGTGAGGGCCTGACTCAGGCCCCCAACAGTCAGCTCCCTGTGCCCTGTGCTCAGGGTCTCCTTGCTTGCAGAAGCTTTGGGAATGCATGGCCCCTCCCCTGCCTCCTCCTTTGTCTTCAGGGCAGGGCAGAGGGCACAGAGGAGGTCAGGTTCATCTCTTGGACACCTGTATGGAATGAGCTCCGCATGGCAGCTTTAGGACAATGCCTAGGACAGATGTGAGAGATGCACCCGGGGCTGCTGGTGCCAGCCCCTGTCCCAGGCACTGAAAGGACATAAATCAAGAGGGTGGGGAGGGCAACATGGAGCCCAAACTCCCGGGCTGCTGGGAGGGAGCCTGGGAATGAGACACTGAGGCCTGGGGATGTGTCCAGGTGGGGTGGTGCCTAGGAGGGTGTGTGTGTCAGAGTGCTCTGAGCACCACTGTCATTTTTGTTCTTTGTAAGCCTTAGGTGTTTCTGAGAGAGAGAGAGAGAGATTTTACAGGACGCTATCTGGCAGTGGGAATGGTACGTGCAAAGGCCCTGAGACAGAAAACGACTTTTCCTAGTGAGGAAGCAGGTGAAGGCTGCACCTTTGCCCTGGAGGCCTCCCTACTTTGGTATCTTCTCTTTGAAAGGTCTGCTCCAGCTACTTCTGAGCCCACAGAAAAGGCCCGTTCTTGAGCCTCGGGAAGGCCTTTCCAGGCGTGCTAGGTGTCAGCGAGAGTTCTGGTGGGAAGCCTTCTGGGTGTGTCGGCCTCTTTGATTGGAAGCAGCGGACTCTAGATGGGTTCTGCCAAGGATCCGTGGTGACCCTTCTCTTCTTTTGTGGAAGAATTTGCCTGCTAAACTGGCAACCGGGGGAGCTGAGTCACTGTTGCCCCACTTTCTTACGTCACAGACACCCTGGAACAGGTCCTGGCCTGCAGCACACACACTGCTGTCCGTGATGGTGACGCCCGTGAGCAGGTTGAGCATTTACTTCAGCTCTGTGTCCGTGCGTGGCTCTGCTGGCAGTCGCTGAAGCTTGGGCAGGGGTCCGGGCCCCCTGGGAACCTGGGATGCAGGGTGCGAGCCTCTGAGCTGGTTCAGGTCTTGCTTTCCTGATGAGGGAGGGGTAGGGCCTCTCCAGACCCAGGTCATGCAGTGGGGGAGGAGAGCCCCGTCTGCAGCACAGGGCACCCTCTGTTGGCTGTGAACATGAGGCTCCGCATCCCTAGCCAAGAGGAGTCCCACTGACTTCTCGTGGGGAAAGATTGCATCGTGTCTGCTGCAGGCCTCCGAGCCCGGCGGGCTGGGTGGGAGCTGTGGCTGTGCAGTTCTGGCTGTGGCCGCTGCACCTGCAGGTGCTTCCTGCTGAGTGTTTTGCTGGCGAGTACTTCCCTCTCCCTCCCCGCCCCTGCAGCTTGCTGGCTGCAGCCTCCTCCAACATCTACTGGGCGCAGGGCTCTGAGAGGTCAGGCTCTGCTAGGAGGTGGTACAAGGGTGCTGGGGGTGATCTGATAACATGCCATGGGCCTACACCGCTCACCATGCTAGATGCTCAACGGGCTTCCGCTCATCTACTCCTGTTCCGCAACCTTCCAAAGGAGACAATTGAAGCACAGAGAGATTGAGTGACTTGATCACAGTCACACAGCTAGTTAGTGACATGGCTGGGATTTGAACCCAGGCCATCTGGCTATGGGGTGCACAGTCTTGGGTCGCCCCTGTGGTAGGCTGAATCATGGCCTCTCCAGAGATTCTGATCTCTGGTGGAAGGGATTTTTCAGACATGATCAAGTTAAGGATGTGGAGACAGAGTGGCCATCTTGGATTGTCTAGGTGGGCCCAGGGTCTTCACAAGCAGGACAGGGGAGCTGGCTGAGGAATGGAGGTCAGCGGTGCCTCTTGAGAAAGATGTGACCAGCAACTGCTGATCACAAAGGTGGAGGAAAGGCCTGGAGCGGGGGAATGCAGGGGCCGCCAGAGGCTGGAGGGGGTGAGCGTGGATTCCCCTCTGGAGCCTCCAGAAGCGACCAGCTCTGCCAACACTTTGATCCCAGCCTGGCGAATGTGGGTGTAGACCCCAACTTCCAGAGCCATAGAGCACGCACTTGCATGGTTCTAAACGACTCGATGGGTGGCCACTTGCACTGCAGCCGTAGGACAGGATACAACCATTCTTGTTCTCCTGGCCACTTCATTTTGAATTTCTAGTGGTGGAAACCCAACTGTACAAATGGAGGCCTTCCTGGCCATGCCACAGCTTACGAAGCATTTGGGAGCCCAAACAAGCCCAACTGCCTTACCCGTGCCTACTCAGTGGTGGGCATCACGCAGGCAAGATGCAGAGGAAGGGGGGGCATGAGGGAGCGCGGGGTCCCTGCTAGGCCCTGCCTCTGGAAGTGTCTCTGGGCATTGCTTTGGTCCCTGGGAGTGGTCACCACCTGCCCGACACATCTTCGTATGCTGGCCTGGCACCATTAGGGGCAGGGCCTTAGATCCTTGCAAGGAACATGATTTCCCTGAGACGTGTTTGGCTACCCAACATGAGCTGTGCCCACAGCAGCTGCTATTTGGTGGTAGAAGGAGCCATCCCTGATCACGTGCCTCACACACACACCCTTCTGCCCCAGCCTCAGCTGCCTCACCTGTAGAATGGGCACCAGGCTGCAGGCCTGTTGAAGTCCTGCACTGGTGCCAAGGTAACCTTGGCTGGGCGAGCTCTGTGCGGGTGGGGCTCCCTCTGCTTCTTCCAAAAGTCACCTTCTGGCATGAGTGGGCCAGCCTCGGGCCCCCCGGCTCTAGGAGTGGCCACTCTGTGGAGCTCGCCTTGGCCCCAGGCAGGTGTGGGGGGAGGTCTTGAGGCATGTGAGTGCCCCTGAGTGACCTTGGGCTGGACCACATCGGTGTCTTCCCCTGACCACCGAGTCAGGTCAAGGGTTAGGGCAGAGAGTCGCAGTGACAGCTCCCATTTGCTGAGGGCTAACTAGTGTCCACTGCTAACCACTCACTGTCCCATGGAGTCCCTCCAGCAACCTTCAGAGAGAGGGGGACATCCCCATTTTGCACTGCAGGAATCTGATGCCCAGAGAGGTTAAGTGGCTTGCCTGGGTTCACACAGCTGTGAGCACGGAACTAGACGTGAACTTGGCCTTCCTCACTGCGCGGCAGTAGGTTTTGAAGGAGCCCTGGAAAAGAAAGCTCTGGCCTCAGCCTGCCACTGAGTAGGGCCCAAGAAAGGGCTCTGTGGGTCAGGAGCTTGAATGGTGCTCGGAGAGCAGAGACGCTGCCTGGAGCGGATCCTTAGGGACCAAGTGCTCACTGTGGAGCTGAAGGGAGCAGACACCGGGGCTCCTTGGCCTTCCCCAGGATGGGGCTTGGCTGCTCGGGGTCCCTCCCAGGACCCTCAGTGCCGAGCTCACGTGAACTTAGCTTCATCACCATGGGAGGAGACACAGAGAGAACAAACCTGGAGGCACAGGCGGAGGGAATGTGGGGCGAGCCCCGGTGCATGGCCTGAGTGACTGGGGGGGGTGGAGGTGCCATTTCCTGAGGTGGGGAGGCCTGGGAAGGAGCGTGCTGGGGCCAAGTGGGGATCAAGAGCTCTATCCGCTCATTCACTCACCAAGTGACTGCAACGGCCGAGAAGCCAGGAGCCCAGAGCTTCTTCCGAGTCTTCCATGTGGGTGCAGTGGCCCAAGCACTTGGACCATTTTCCACTGCTTTTCCAGGCCACAGCAGGGAGCTAGATGAGAAGTGGAGCAGCTAGGACTGGAACAGGCGCCCATATGGGATGCTGGCACTGTAGGCGGCAGCCTTACCCGCTACGCCACAGTTCTGTCCCCCGGGGGACTTCATTTCTGCGGTGGGAACTCTCGTCCCTGCAGGCACCTGTACCAGCTGCTGGTTTTCAGTCTCTGTAGCCTCAGACTTCGGGGAGTGAGGGACCTTCTTTGGGCCCAGCTCTCATGGGTCCCTGGAGCAGAGAACCAGGCATATGGCTGTCCAGATCCCAGCTCAGCCGCTTGGCAGCTGTGTGGCCCCAGGCCGCACGCCTGACATCTCTTTGTTTCCTCACCTGCAGGACAAATCTGCCTGGCTGTGGGGTCCTGACGCTCAGCTGCCGGCGCTGAGGCCCTCGGGCCAGGGCCTGGCTCTCCGACATCTCCGTGCGTCAGACTTCCCAGGGCCGTGTGGGCACTGTGGTCATGTCCATATCATAGCATCCCCGGCGCTGGGTGGATTTAGGCTGGGGAGAATTTCCAAAGAAATCCTCAGCTTCTTTTAAGTGAGTGATGCAGAAATTCTGGGGAGAGCAGCAGGAATCATTACTCACAGGGAAATGCAAATATTTTTGTGAATATCCTATGAAAAAAAATGGGGCATTTTTCCTGAGCAAATAATCTTGTTTATTTCTCTAACAAAATAGCCACAGTTGTGCCGCAGGGGCCGGCCTGCCACTGCCAAGGGCATTTCTCGGGGGTGCAGCTCACCTCCCTTCCCCTCACTTTCTCTTCTGTTGTGAAAGTTGATTTTTGTGGCCAGACTTTCTCACCTGTGAAAACCGGTGTGGGCAGAGGCATCGCGAGCACAACAGTCCACGTGAAAAGTTCTTTTCCTTGCAAAGCACATCGTGATGGAGACGGGCGGCTCTCACAGCGGGAGGGGGAGCACTTTCCTTGGGAAGGAGCTTCGCAGGGAGAGGAAGGAGCCGGAGAGGGAGGTTGCGGCACTGGGGCAGGAGCAAGAGGCTTAGCGTGGGGTCGCTGCCCACCCTGGGCCCAGCACGGTGCAGGGGCGCTATGCACACTCTGTCCAACCCCTACGCAGGACATTTGGTTGCTATACCAGTTAGGAAAGTGTGGCTCAGAAAGGCCAGGGAAGTGGTCTGGGGTCGCTTGGCTCATGGGCCAGAGTCAGAAGTCCACTCTGCCTGTCTGGTGAGAGCCCTGCCCTTCCACTTTGCCCTCAGAGAAGGGGCTCCTGGTTCAGCAGCCAGGTAACAGACGCAGCTAAGTGAGGAGAGACAGCCAGGGCAGGGTGAGGGGGCTGGGCACGCCCCGCCCTGGCTGGGAAGGTGGTTGCACTCTCATTTTCAGAGTGGACAGTGCAGCTCAGGGAAGAGCAGGCCATGGGATGTGGCTTCTTGGTTGCCAAATTCATTTGAGAGCCCCGTCTTCCCTCCTGGTCCCCGTCCATCCATCGTCTGTCCTTTTTCCCATCTGTCCATCCATCTACCCATCCTTCCACAGTGAGTGCAGCAGTCACTCCATCCGAGCACTGTTCTGGGTACTTGGCACATAGCAGGGAGCAAGAGGAAGACACCTTCCCGCCTGAAGTCTGCCTTCTAATGAAAGGGAGGCAGAGACGGCAGGGGCAGTGAGGAGGCTGACTCAGAAAGCTGTGCTGCAGGCTGGTGTGTGCAGTGAAAATGAAGAGGGGTCAGGAAGGGGGCAGTATCAGATCATTGTGTTGAAAAGGCGATCAGGTGATGGGGGCCGGCGTGGTGGTGGTGGAGCTGGCAAAGCTGCCGTCTGTGATGTCGGCATCCCACATGGCTGTCGGTTTGAGGCCCAGCTACACCATTGCTGTCTCAGCTCCTTGCTAATGTGCCTGGGAAGGCAGCAGAGGATATCCCCAGTTCCTGTGTCCCTATACTCACATAGGAGACCCAGAAGAAGCTATGTATTTCTGGCCTCAGTCTGGCCCAGCCCCAGCCATTGCAGCCATTTGGGGAGCGAATCAGCAGATGGAAGATCTCTCTTTCTGAATTTCTCTCTCCCTCTCTCTGTATAACTCTGCCTTTCAGATAAATAAATCTTAAAAAGAAAAAAAAAAAAGGGTGACCAGAGGGCAGACTTTGGAGTGAGTGTGGGAAAGCTGTGGGACTGGGCAGACGTGGTCTCAGCCCCACCTTGAGAATGCACGGAACTCCCTGAGTGGCTCACGTTAAAGCAGTTCTTTGGGGGCAGAGCTTGGCACGGTGGTTAGGGCACCAGCATCCCGTACAGAGTAGCTGGGTTTTAGTCTCAGCTCTGCTTCCAGTTCCTGCTGATGTGCACCCCGGGAGGCAGCAGGGATGACTTGAGTACTTGAGTCTCTGCCACCCACATAGGAGACCTGGAGTGAGTCCTGACTTCTGGGTTCAGCCTGGCCCCGCCCTGGCTGTTGAGAGCATTTGGAGAGTAAAGCATAAGACAGAAGATCCTTCTCTGTTTCTGTATTTCTCTCTGCCTTTCAAATTAAAAAAATATATATAAAAAGCAGTTAATTTTTTGTTTTTGAATTTCACTCCAGTAAATTGTTTCAGAAGAGAAGGTAGCTGGACTCCGCTTCCCAGATGAAGTGATGGCTGTGCAGATGCCTAAGGCAGGCCAAGGTGTGAACCCTGCAGGTGCTGCCTCCCAGGGGTGAGGAAGCTGGCTCTAGGCAGAGGGAAGGGCAGAGCTGAGGCAGACCAGGCCCCCGGGCCACATCCAGCCACTGCCTGCTTTTGTAGATAAAGTTTTATTAGAATCCAGCCGGGACCGCTTGTGTACGGACTGTCCATGTGACCCAGAAACCCTACCTGGCCCTTTACAGAGCAAAGTCCTCAGGGAGGAACATGGCTGGGGTGTCTGAAGACCTGCCGAGAAAGGGGGCGGGGGGCCGCAGCACAGCGAGGGAAGGCGAGAGGCGGAGGTGAGAGTGGAGAGGCAGGAAGCTCCTGCCTGCTTCCCGTGACACCTTGGGAGCCTCAACACAGACACTTTGACGTGCTAATGGAGAAGCTGTGTGTGTTTGTGTGTGTTTGGCTGTACAGCCTTGGCTTTGAGACCTGTTGTTTGCCCCTCACCAGCTCCGTGTCCTCAGTTCTTTCATCAGATATAGCCTGATGGTGGGGATGGTGGTGGTGATGATGGTGGTGACCATGATGGTGATGATGATGATCGTGGTTATGGTGATGGTGGTAGTGATAGTGATAGTGGTGATATTGTGGTAGCTGTGATGGTGGTGGTGGTTGTGGTAGTGGTGGTTGTGGTAGTGGTGATGGTGTTGATGGTGGTAGTGGTGGTGTTGATGGTGATGATGGTGTTGATGGTGGTAGTGGTGGTGATAATGGTGATGGGGTAGTGGTGGCAGTAATGATTGTGGTAGTGGTGATGGTGGTAGTGGTGGTGATGGTGTTGATGGTGGTATTGATGGTGATCATTGTGATGGGGTAGTGGTGGCAGTGATGGTTGTGGTAGTGGTGATGGTTGTGGTAGTGGTGATGGTGGTAGTGGTGGTAATGGTGTTGATGGTGGTATTGGTGGTGATAATGGTGATGGGGTAGTGGTGGCAGTGATGGTTGTGGTAGTGGTGATGGTGGTAGTGGTGATGGTGATGGTGGTGATGGTGGTGTTGATGGTGATCATTGTGATGGGGTAGTGGTGGCAGTGATGATTGTGGTAGTGGTGATGGTGGTAGTGGTGATGGTGTTGATGGTGGTAGTGGTGGTGATAATTGTGATGGGGTAGTTGTGGCAGTGATGATTGTGGTAGTGGT